TATTATATGTATATGTATATGTATATGTATATGTATACGTATCGTATATGTATATGTATATGTATATTGTATAATATATGTCTTATAGTATATGTATATGTAAGTATGTATATGTACTATGTATAATGTATATGTATATGTATATGTATATGTATATGTATATGTATGTATATGTATATGTATATGTATATGTATATGTATATGTATATGTATATAATGTATATGTATATGTACATGTATAGTAATGTATATGTAATGTATATGTATATGTATATGTATATGTATATGTATATGTATATGTATATGTATATGTATATGTATATGTATATGTATATGTATATGTATATGTATATGTATATGTATATGTATATGTATATGTATATGTATATGTATATGTTAATATGTATATGTATATGTATGTATATGTATATGTATATGTATATGTATATGTATATGTATATGTATATGTATATGTATATGTATATGTATATGTATATGATATGTATATGTATATGTATATGTATGTATATGTATATGTATATGTATATGTATATGTATATGTATATGTATATGTATATGTATATGTATATGTATATGTATATGTATTATGTATATGTATATGTATATGTATATGTATATGTATATGTATATGTATATGTATATGTATATGTATATGTATATGTATATGTTATAATGTATATGTATATGTATATGTATATGTAATGGTATATGTATATATGTATATGTATATGTATATGTATCATGTAAATGTATATGTATGTATGTATATGTTATATGTATATGTATATGTATATGTATATGTATATGTATACATGTATATGTATATTAATGTACAGTATGTACTACTGTACATGTACATGTACATGTAAATGATGTACATGTATTATATGTACATGTACATGTACATGTATGTATATGTAAATGTATTACATGTATATGTATATGTTATATGTATATGTATATGTATATGTATATGTATATGTATATTATGTATATGTATATGTATATGTATATGTATATGTATATGTATATGTATATGTATATGTATATGTATATGTATATGTAATGTATATGTATATGTATATGTATATGTATGTATATGTATATGTATATGTATATGTATATGTATATGTATATGTATATGTATATGTATATGTATAGTTAGTATATGTATATGTATATGTATATGTATATGTATATGTATATGTATAATGTTTATGTATATGTATATGTATATGGTATATGTGTATATGTATATGTATATGTATATGTATATGTATATGTATATGTATATGTATATGTATATGTATATGATATGTATATGTATATGTTATGTATATGTATATGTATAGATATGTATATGTAGTATGTATATGTATATGTAAGTTATATTGTATATGTATTATGTATAGGTATATGTATATGTATATGTTATAATGTATATGTATATGTATATATACACTATGCTATACCGCGATGGCTCAGCCACGGTAAATCTTTTTTAAATGTACCAACTTGGGTAAAGAACAAAATTAAACACAAACACAAAAACACCAAACACAAACTTAAACACAACATAAACACAACGCAAATACAAACGCAAACACAACGCAAACAACACAAACGAAAACACAAACTCAACACAACAAACACACACACACAAAACAAATGCAAATAAAAACACAAATGGTATATTGCGTTACAGATTGCGAGGATGGGACGTGGGGATTAGAGTGCAACACTTCATGTGCCACATGCATCAACCAAACATGTTTCAAGGCTACTGGTGTGTGTGTGTCTATGGTTGCATACCTGGATACATTGGACAAAGCTGCACATATCGTACGTTTGATTGTCTACTTATATCGATACAACAACGTATGTGGTTTTATGTGCATTCAATTACCTAGCTATGCATTTTAAAAAGAGTACAAACAATGCCGCAGCAAAATTTGTTTTAAAGTATACACATTTGTGTATTAGAAAAATGACAATGAATGTTGTTACGCCCGGGTTCGATTCAACTCAATAACGATTCGTGACACATATAGTATACTTTTATTTGGACTCAATTCTTCACATAGCAAGGTAGCCCTCGCCCTAACAGCTACCAACTAACTGCTGACAACCATTCACTCCAGCTTTTATACCGCATTCGGCCTTGGGATAACAATACATCAACACACCGGGGTTAACAATATTCTAAGGTAAACTCAACTCACACACACTCTCCCCTAATTCTAGATTATCCTAACCTATTTCTATCTAACCTACAACTGACCCGTAACAAATGTCTTTAACTGAATCAGCTTGCAACAAGACTTTCTACGGTGACAACTGTAGCAGACGATGTAACCCGGAGTGTGAGTACCAGCAGTGTCATCTCGTGACTGGGGACTGCTTGAGTTGTCTACCAGGGAGGGTCGGCCCACAATGTGAACATGGTAACACAGTACTTCTAGATGTTATCGTGTATACATTGATTGTTGTAGGCTGTGATTTAAAGTGTGCCCACAACGTGAACACGGTAGCAGTACATCTAGATGTTAACTTGTATTAATTGATTGTTGAGGGATTTGTTTTAAAGTCGGCCCATAATGTGAACAAGGTAACACAGTACATCTAGATGTTATCGTGTATAAGTTGATTGTTGAAGGATTTGTTTTAAAGTTGGCCGCAATATATACCTTTGTTCATGTTTTTTTTTTTTCGTTGATTTTTTAGTTTTGTCTGTATGTGTAAGTATGTTTTTAATAGTGTTTATAATATGCAGGAGTGTTTATAAAATTTAAACAAAAACTAAAATCCAACATGAGGTCACTATTATTGTATTCCCCCCCCCCCCCCTAAAATTGATATGTTTATTTTCCTTACAACAGAAACATCAAGGCCTATAGGAAGCTGTTTTTAAATAAAGTGCTATTCAAATATTGATATTTGTATTTGTTGACCAGGGTTCGTCCATGATGAATAAATTTCTTCAATTTCTGTACTCTAACTTCTAGTTTGTGATAACCATACGTATGGCTACAACTGCCTTAATGCTTGCTCACCTTAGTGTGTGATGTCTGAGTGTGACGTCACCAACGGCCATTGTATTATATGTAGTCCAGGCCGTACTGGAGATTACTGCCAGGAAGGTGAGTGGAGGGGGGGGGGGGGGTTAACGTGTCAGGAAGTAGTGGGGACGAGAAGGGGGCTGGGCAGTTTCTCTTCTTTTTGGTTTATTTTACAGTTTTATTGTTGTTTTAGTCTTGGTTTGTTTTCATTCTTTGTTTTCTGGTTTCTCGTAAGTCTTTTACTTTTTATCTGCGTCTGCCTTATTCTTTTGTTTTTTCATTATCTTCTTCTGTTTTCATTTCTGTATAATTTATGTTTCTCTAATTTTAAGTCTTTTGTTTACAGTTGCATCTCGTTCAAAGATTCACATTTATTTGTTACACATTTTGTGTTCCTTCTAACTACAAATTACTACAACACTCCCAACAAACTTTATGTTTACTTAACTGTATAAACAAGTTACTCTTTAAACCCACTGTGTGATTGCTGACTCACCTGCCTCTAAAGTACTACCTCTCATCAGTCTAAAATAACAGCGTCGTCTTTGCACAATTAGAGTTACTCCCCTGCCGTAGCCTGTGACAGCTACCATAAGTTACTCCACATCCCCAGTTTGTGACCGCTATATTAAGTTACTCCCCATCCCAGTCTATGACAGCTAGTTACTCCCCATCCCCAGTCTGTGACAGCTAGTTACTCCCCATCCCCTGTCTGTGACAGCTAGTTACTCCCCATCCCCAGTCTGTGACAGCTAGTTACTCCCCATCCCCAGTCTGTGACAGCTAGTTACTCCCCATCCCCAGTCTGTGACAGCTAGTTACTCCCCATCCCCAGTCTATGACAGCTAGTTACTCCCCATCCCCATCCCCAGTCGGTGACAGCTAGTTACTCCCCATCCCCATCCCCAGTCTGTGACAGCTAGTTACTCCCCATCCCCAGTCTGTGACAGCTAGTTACTCCCCATCCCCAGTCTATGACAGCTAGTTACTCCCCATCCCCATCCCCAGTCGGTGACAGCTAGTTACTCCCCATCCCCAGTCTGTGACAGCTAGTTACTCCCCCATCCCCAGTCGGTGACAGCTAGTTACTCCCCATCCCCATCCCCAGTCGGTGACAGCTAGTTACTCCCCATCCCCATCCCCAGTCGGTGACAGCTAGTTACTCCCCATCCCCATCCCCAGTCTGTGACAGCTAGCTACTCCCCCATCCCCAGTCTGTGATAGCTAGTTACACCCCATTCCCAGTCTGCGACAACTACCACTATGGACCAAGGTGTAACACAACCTGTTCCGGACACTGCTTGGGCAACATCTGCAACTCTAGCACTGGTCAATGTTTTTCATGTGAAGTCGGGTACCAAGGAGAATTCTGTATCTCAGGTAACCTTTGACTAGTATAAGACTTTGTAAATTATACTCTCTTTCAACAGAATTAGGTAGACAACGTTGTTGTCACTGTAGCGTCCTACAGATTCATACAAAGAAATCATATTCGATACATTCGGTTAAAGTATACAGTAAACCATACCACTCGCTCATGTACATCGTGATAATGTAATAATTTAAAAATGTATTGCAAGATAATTAATACAAAGGAAATGTTTTTGTAATAGGCCTACACATGCAGAGTTAATGTTTGTATGAAACTTTAAAAATGTTTGATACTTGAAATTCGTGTTGATGGTTTGTTACGTAAAAAACAGTAGAATGGGTAATAGCATTTAGATATGAATGGCCAGTTTATTTTTTTGTTTTAAATAATCAATTTTGAGTACAGACTACTCGAAAAAATCTTGAAATTTACAGCATTTGTATTCACACAAACTTCAACCTATGATAAGATAAGCGCTAGGGTTAGAGTTAGGGTTGTTAAGAATAGGATATGGTTAGGGTTAGAACAATAAAAGAACCTCACAATGTGGCGATTATGAAAATAATAAATCGTATATCTTGAGCGTAATATAACGTTGCCTGTGGAAAGTGTGTCAGTCAGCTACACCCCCCCCCCCACCCTCATTCCCCCATAGTCAGAGACCGAAAATTATTTAACTATCAGCATCAAAACTATTGAAATTATACAACCATGCTTAATTTTAATTTGACAGCACTATTGCGCCTTAGAATGTGTTTATTCACCGTTTCTCTAGCTTTCATCATGTCTATAGATCGATGTTTTGATAACCGATACATTCGTCGATACTCATGTACAAAGTCTACTCAAAACAGATGCCGCTTCCCTGACATTTCCACAAGGGGTCGGCGTTGGTATCGCCATCGTCTGCGGCGTGATCGTCATCGTTGTTGCTGTCGTCGTGGCTGTCTGGCGATGTCGAGGTGTATCACCACCTGCAGCACACAGACCTATGTCTGCACAAGCTGTAGCTAGAGCGGATACAGAGCAGGCTAGTAAGTTTGTGACATTGTGACATTTGTCATTTGACACTAATAGACAGAGAAAGCTAGTAAGTTTGTGACATTGTGACATTTGTCATTTGACACTAATAGACAGAGAAAGCTAGTAAGTATGTGGCATTGTGACATTAGTCATTTGACACATATAGACAGGGAAAGCTAGTAAGTTTGTGACGTTGTGACACACATAGACAGGGAAAACTAGTAATTTGTGACATTGTGACACATATAGACAAATAACTAGTAAGTTTATGACATTGTGACACAAATAGACAGGGAAAACTAGTAATTTTGTGACATTGTGACAGATGTCATGTAACACATATAGACAGGGAACGCTTGTAGTTTTCTGATATTGTGACAATTGTGATGTGACACATATAGAAAGAAAACTAACATTCTGACGCGGTCATGCTACAGAAATAATCAAGGAAACCCCTGATTTAAGATCAGAGCTGGACTTAGAATTCTCTTATCTTTCCCAAAACACAGGCATCTGATGCTAACATACTTCTATTCATATAATGTTCTACTACTTGACAAAACGTAAGGGTAATACCAACACTAGAAATAAAATTGTGAGACTTCTTATATATATTTATTACTGCATTAACGTCCTACATTTGTAGCTAATATATGCCAATAATGTCTAAAATGTATTTATTTTCTATGTTTTTATTTTAGTAAAGATGCACCAATTGTACATTTGATTTAAACAAAACCATTTTAATTCCATAAAATGTACTTTAATTTAGAATACCTCTTTAATTACTTTACTGTTAAAAACAGGTTATATCTTACCAGATAATCCAAAAACCAATGACTTACATATTGCACACATTTGATTAATCCGAAGGTATACAGACGGTAGCCACAGCTCCAATCCAGGATCAAGAATATGTCTATTGTCTATGACGCCAATGTATATGAGCTCACAGATGCAAATGGCAAAAAATAGACAAGTTAACAGATTAAACTGCTACAATATGGACAAGTTTACAGATTCAATAGCTACAAAATAGACAAGTTAACAGACTCAACTGCTACAAAATGGACAAGTTAACAGATTCAATTGCTACAAAATGGACAAGTTAACAGATTCAATAGCTACAAAATGGACAAGTTAATAGATTAAACTGCTACAATATGGACAAGTTTACAGATTCAATAGCTACAAAATGGACAAGTTAACATATCAATTGCTACAAAATGGACAAGTTAACATATCAATTGCTACAAAATGGACAAGTTAACATATTAAACTGTCACAAAATGGTTAAGTTAACAGTTTCAATTTTTACAAAATGGACCAGTTAACAGACTTAATTGTTAAATTATTCATAGTTGTGTCCATTACCAAGATATTGTTTTTTTTTTACTTTCTCGTATAAACGAAGTGTAGAGAAAGTATTGTAATCGTGCACAAAAATCACTTGAAATTTTAACAATTTTCACCGTATTACACATCAGTCCTTCATCACATCCGAAGTATAGAGGACTTATTTTAATCGGGCAAAAATTATCAATCCAGATTTATCAAAATTAAGAGGTTTTATGCGTAATCCAGTCTGAAAAACTGAGCTTTGCAATTCTGTCTGTATGTCTGTGTGTCTGTGTGTGTGTGTGTGTCTGTCCGTGTGTAAACACGATAACTTGAGTACCGTTACAGCTAGGTTGATGAAATTTCATATATAAGTATTTTATCAAAATAGTAGATCCGTATTAGCTTTTGAGCGATTTCCGATAACCGGAAGTGGTACTTTTTCTACTTTGAATTTTTCAAAAGCCTATAACTATAACTTGAGTACTATTTCAGATAGATAAATGAAATTTCACATGTAAGTAAAAGATCTAATTCTCTACCTTCTGTTAAATTTTGAGTAATTTCCGTTGACCGGAAGTAGTAATTTACGCTACTTCTCAAAAAACTAATGTACATTTTTAAAGTACTAATAATATTGCGCACTATTATGCACTTTTTTTATTTGGCGTTCACTTGGTGTGCAATTCTTTTGTCTACGAGATTTTATTCTATTTTTAAAAATTTAAGTATTTAAAATGGATTAAAAATCATGTCTATAGCTCACGTTTCCATCCCCTGTTGTTTTATATAAGAATACACGAGAAAGTTTAGGGGAGATCATTCCCGGTTTATTTTTTATTTGATTGACTTGTATCAAATTGAATTGATAGTTGAATTATTCTTTTTGTAATTAATGTCATGTTAACGATGCCTGTTACAAGATATTTACTTGATAAGTTTTTTAAATGCTATTGTTTAATGCTCCGTTATTAATTGTTAAATTAGTTAACTCACATTGATTATGCTACACGACTAATTGTTTGCAAATGATATATTTACACTTATTTATTCAAGTTTTCTTTGAAAATATAACATCTATACTCATTATTAATTTATTTCTTTTAAAACTGTCTGATTGCCCGAATGACAGTTAAACTAGCAGTATTTGCAATTGATATATAATTATTTTTTGCTTCGGTTGCAAAATCATCACATAACACTTACATACATCATACATTTTACTATTTTACACGACATATATGAGTGCCCATAATGAAATATATAATAAGTAAAACTTAGTAATGAGACATAGTAGACTTAGTTAGGGGTAAGCCTACAT